ACAGACGTTTAAATGTTTAAGCAGCAGTAACGTTCATCTGAGGGGATAATTATTCAAGGACGCACTCGAAAGAGAAGAAGGATCTCAGTGACATTTGAAAAAGGTTAGTTAATAATCTTACTGGCCTGAGTTTTTATTAACGTGGTATCAGGTGCTAATACCGTGATATGATATACATGGTAATAAATTACTCTCACAAAGAAGAACTGTCCTTTTTGGACATGGTACAATAGCAGTACCGTGTTATGCATGCAATATATTTCAACCCTCTACATTGCGAGTAAATCACTCGCATATGCGACTAAATCTTCACTCTGGGCGACTAAACGACGTCTAATATTAGCCAATTGCTAATCAATTCTCATGTTTTACTCGCCAGTGTGTGAGTTGGAGGCTAAGTATAAGTTTAGCTCAGATATATTTTCACTCGCCGAACACTCTCTGACTGAGCGCATCAGTTTCACTCTCCGTCAAGCGATCTGTGCTGTTTTCAGTTCATTTGAATGGATGTGCAACGCACCTGAATTTATCGTACCGTAACCTCTAGTGTGAAGGCGCACGACGACGAGAGGGAGAGAGAGAATTGACGCGCTACCTATGCGCGCTACATGTAAACGATATTCTTTGTTGTATTTTGCTGTCAAAATAACGGAGTTCCTTTGGAATTCTTCAGCTATTAAGATCTACCGCTTTCTCCGGTAGTGGGCGGAACTAATGCGCAAACGGCAATCTCATTGGCTGGTGCTCACCTATTATCGTCCCTGTTTTGATTTCAGCAAATCAATTCGAGCGAACGCACACAACCTGATTAATATTCATGAATCCAGTAGCTCATTATATTGTTCTTATTAGTAGAATTCGTATCATTATCTTATCAGTATTTTTTGTTAGTTTTTCTCCAATAATTAATATTATATATAAGGCGGTACCATGGTCAACTAAAATGAAAACACCCCAAAAAACTTTGAAAGTAACTTAATGCTGTTATTATGACTGACTCAAGAATATCATCAACAATAAAAAAATATTATATAATATATTGATATTAAAAATATATATTGATATTTTTATTCAGTTTAATAAATGTCATTTAAAAAGGTTTCAGGGTTTATTGTTGTTGATGTTTTTGTTCATGTACCATAGTAATACCTTGGGTTGCATGTAAATACCAGGGTATATGAATATGTTAATCATTTTGCACCAGTAGTAGTGTCACTGTACTATGCAGTGTTATTTTATTATCTATTAGGCCTATAGTTTTGTTATATAATATTAAATATTTTTTATTAGATTTTCCATTTTCATTTAAATTTTAGTTAGTTTTAGTCATTTTATTGTGTATTTTTGTCATTTTTATTAGTATTGTTAAAAATGTATTAAATTTTTTATATATACAGTGGTGTGAAAAAGTGTTGGCCCCCTTCCTGATTTCTTATTTTATTGCATGTTTGTCACACTTTAATGTTTCAGATCATCAAACTAATTTAAATATTGCACAAAGATAATGTAAGTAAATACAAAATGCAGTTTTTAAATGATGATTTC